TTTGCCAAGGAGATCTTTGGATATGCTCTAGTTTTATTGACATTTGTTATATTTTCAATAAGATTGCATCTCCTTATAATGTTTAGAGTCTCTGGGAAAGTGAATGTTCTGAGTTATAAAAAGAGTGGTAAAAAGTAAATATATAATTAGAGCAGAATTTCTTATCCTTTGAATTACAGGCCAATTGATCAATCCAGTAAACAGTGTTTTGTTTTTATTTTGTTTTTTTAACCATGTCCTTGTGAGTAGCCTTATTTATCATTTCCTTTAGGAACAAATGTCAACAAAATAAACCCTTTTTGTCCTAAAAATGGAAGCTTCATAAAACCTTTTCTGTTTCAAGAGTGGAACTGTACTCTGTTCAGTGTGTTATTAGTATCCTTCTTAACTAAAATTTACCAAGAACAGACTTTATGTGTATATAGGATATATCTCCAGTGTAGATAGCTAACCCCTAAAATTTTAAGATATTACACGTGTGTGATAGGCTTTTTAGTTCTATTGTAGTCTATTCTGATTATACCAATATGTCCTACATTTTCATTTAGAATGATAAGGCTCATTTTAGAAGTTTTCTTTTGAGTTATTCTTTCTATTTGGATACTACACTAGTCCCCACATAACCTGCTGATAACTTTTTTCAGTTTTTCACCTTGACTTTCTAACCTCCAGTCTTAAGAACTTGGCCTTTCTGGCATTTTAACAAAAAGAACGCCAGTCAGGGAGTCAGGGCACTCAGGTTAGAGTTGTAATCTCTACGACTATAGTCAAGTTACTCAGCTTTCTGGGCTTTGATTCCTTCATTTTTAAAATTAAGGGTTGGGCTTGATCTCTAAGGTTCTTTCTCAAATTCAGCCATGGGCTAGCATATCTTTCCTCTTGGACCGTATAGACTGCTATGCTTTGGTTCCTCTAACTCCTCCCAAAAAAAGGCCTCTTATCTCCTTGAGCCTCAGTCATCTGTGTTTTACCCTGAAACATTGAAGCTGGCCCAGGTAAACCTTCCATATTTCAAAATACTCTCTAAAATACCGTGTCCTACATCTGGTTCTCTAGAAATAGTGTAGCTTTCTGTTAATATTGTTATAGAACCATGGGAAATTGCTCCCTCTAAATTCCCTAGAAGATTACAAACTAGCCCTAATAGTGCCTGAATATTATCATCTACCCTTATTAATCCCTCTGTCCCCAAACCTTACACCTAAGAGGCTGGTTGGATTAAGTGCAGCCAATTTCCTTCCCCTTCCTTCTGTCAAAACTAGCTCTGCTTACTTAGTTGATAAAGCTATTTCTGAAATATGAAGCCAGGAGAAACAGCTAATTCATTAGGTGTCATAGTGAGTATTCAAATAGATATTCCCAAGCCAGAAGAACGGGACAAAACAAGTGGTGAAATTTTACGGAGATATTTGTTGAGTTTGCGAGTGTGGGGCCTTTTTTTTTTTTTAATCTTGTTCATTCTATCCCTAGTGTCCTAGTATCCCTACTATTTGACTTATATTTGTTGAATGAAACAATGAATCATGTTACACCTGCTTAAATACGGAATGGAAGTGCTTACTTAACTCTTAGATTTAGGGCTTTGGAGCACATGCAGAGGTTGATAGTCGGTATGGTGCAGTGTCTGACATCTATTCAAAAAGTAGTGAGGGAAAGAAGAGGGATATTTACCTGGAAGTTTAGAAGGTTTAGAGGGGCTGGAGGATTCATTTATTGGCTCTAATTCCTGAGTACAGCACTTAGACTAATGGAAAGATTTTACAGTCTTGCCAGGAACTCTGTTCCTTGAAACTTTAGATGTTCATGTGGAGGTTGGATGACCATCTGTCAGAAACGTCGAAGAACGTATTCATGAAGGGGTGGATTGTTAAACCCACTGATTTCTAAAGTCCATGTGAGTGTCTGATTCTGTGATTTTTACTTCAAAGGGAAGTTGGACGTGCCATACTAACTGCTACTAGTCTCGCAAAGGATAGTGAAGTGGATAATGAATTGTTCTTTGCTAAAGAGATTGAACTTATGGAGCCTTTTCTGACAATATCAATGTTCTTAAGGACATCAAAAGGTGGAAATAGTTTTAATCTTATTAATAAGGGACAAGTAACAGAGATCACTGAAAATGATCGTGGATAAAAGAGAGATGGCTGTGAGGGAAGAGGGAAAAGAAAGATCATTTAGAACATCATTGTGAGTTGTCTGGATTTAGAATATGGGCAGTCTTCTAAATACATCAGTAACCCCTGATAGAGTATTTTCTTTACTAACATTACACCATCCTAAGGACTGCAACAGTCTGGAGGCCTTATGTATGTGCAAGAAGAAACTTCCTAGCACACGTCAATAGCCTCTGAAGGGTATAGATCTGCACAGTAATTGATGATACGATTTTTACAGTGTGGAGTTTGAGTTTTCAAAAAATATTTAAATCATTCATCGAAGTGATAAAGTTTAAAGATAAGTATAAATATATTTTGTGGTCTCCTGGAATTAGCAGTTCACTGAGGGAGATAGATGCATGGATAAATAATTATATTACAGCTGATAAGTTCTTTTATATATGTTTTTTTTTTTTTTAATTTCTCTTGGGTGGTGGAAACAGTTACATGCTTGACTACTAGCTGAGAGATAAGTGGTTTGAACCCACCCAGAGATGCCTCAGAAGACAGGCTTGGTGATCTGCTTCAGAAAGGTTCACAGCCTTGAAAACCCTATGGAGCAGTTCTACTCTGCACACATGGTGTCGCTGTGAATCAAAATTGACTCAAGGGCAACTAAATACAACAACAACAACATGATATAAACAACCTGCTGTGGGGATATTCTTCTTGGGGAAGTTAGGAAAGAGAGGAGTCTGGGTCTTAGAGGATAGACTTCGAAGGATAAGTAGTATAGGTGATATAAGTGCATAGGAACACCCCTGAGAGAGGTATCATCACCTAGGGACTTGGCAGTAAGGTTTCTCTCTAATAAGTACTGTATTTTTACACAAGTAATGTGTGCCTTTTACGTTTGCAACTGCACCCTCTCCCTGAAAGGTATTTTCGTAAGCGTGCTATGATAATTTTTTTTTTTTTTTTACAGCAGCATGTGAAAAAAATGGCATAGTGGCACTTATGAAGATACCTTGCGGGGGGAGGACAGTTGGCAAACAAATGTGGAAGGCATGTGTTATTTGCATAAAAATATGGTAAACTCTAAAATCATCAAGTACTATTTAGAGCCAGGATGTTTATTTTCAGAAAGACTTCTAGTTGAGAGCCAGATACGGTGAAGATATAAATATAGCTAATAAAAGGCTGTATAAATCAAGAGAGAGGGTTTGGACAGAAACTAAATATGGACAAAGGAGAAAGTCAGGGATAAGTACTTTGGCAATTTCTATCCAAACACTGTAAAAGAACGGAACACTCCTATTATTGTGGTTGGTAAATTCCTGCTCTGTAGGTGGACATGCCAGGCTGCCATTAGCCTGATGCCGTTTAAGCATTATCTCATAAAATGAACTCCCCTTGTTCCGACTTCCTGTTCATTAAGCAACATTCTGATTATAATTTGCCTTCCCATCTAGATTGGCCTACAGGGGGAACATGTACTGAGTATGCTGACATGAGCACTCTGATCCATATGGCAGCTATGGTTCTCATTGTAAACTAATGTAGTTAATTGAGTGGTAGTCTAGTTTGGACATTAGTCTCTTGTGAGCTTAATGTTACTCTCCTGTTGAAAGATGACTCCACTCTGAACATCAAAAATAAAAGAAAATTCAATTCCTAAGTTTACAAAGCTGAGAGCCAGACTCAGATGATGGACTAAGGTGAATGTGTCAAGATAAATCCTGTGTCTTGGCCACCAGCCTTGCTTTGAAGAAGTACTACTTCAAGGAGAGTTATACAAGTCAGATGTGGTTGGGGGAGACATATGTAGGCATATTCGAGGAAGTACAGGTATGAGAGAGTGGAAAGGAGGGAGATGAGGCTGGAGAGAGGGGTAGAAGACAGATTCTAAAGGGACTCAGTTGTTTAGGGCAGAGGATGTTATCATTCATTTTTAAAAGTAAGTTAAATTGAAAGGAAATGGCATGTGTATTTCTTTTGGTAAAACACCATTCTGCCTTTCATGCTTCATTTTCAATGAGCACATCTCCTTGTTATTTTTTCAAATTCAAGCTGAGTTTGTTGACCACATAATCTTCCTAGTTATGTTGTATTTACTAGGCTAAATTAAAGACTATTAGGCTCCTATGTAACTGAAGTCATAATAGCTAGCTGTCATGACTTTAGTCCACATTTATACATACAGTTCTAGTGATTTTGTTATTTTACTTCAAGCCTGGTGCAGTATCACTTGAATCTCTTTACTAAAGAAATAGTAAATCATAATGATTGAGAATTGTTTGCCTAGCAGGGGTCCCAAATCCTTGTAATCTCTTAAATGACTTCTTAGAAAAATCCTTTTTCATTAAGTGTATGTGCTTATTTTGGTTCCATAAAATGTTCATGATTCGAAAGCATTTATATAATATGTATGCATTTCAAAACTGAGCCTATTTTAAAACAATGTTCTGATGAGATAAATGTGGTAACGATTTTTTTTCTGGAAACGAAGAAACGAACACCATCTTATCTGACAGTTTGTGTTTTCTAAGGCTTTACTAATGTTTACTGAAAGCTCACAGTTAACTTTTCTTTGATGCATTAATGGCAATATATTATTAAAATGGTAAAGGATTTTTTTTCAACTTCTTTTCTCCTTTGGTTAGAGAACTACTATAGTTTTCTTTGACAACTGTCCTGCTCACCATCTCCCTTAGTGTTCTACTTGTGAACTCTGTGAGTTAACCTCAGCTAATGAGTACTGAAAGTGTGTTTTATTTTAGTAAAGTCACTGATGGTGTGAGATCTGTTTTCTAATCCACTTCTTTGAGTTGGTTGTATGGATGTTACAGGTATTTTGTCCACTTAATAATCAATTTCTATTTTCACTTCTTATCAATGCCTTAGGAAAAGCATATAACCAATGAAGAAGAGAACTTAAGGAGGATGGAAGAAGCCAGATTGCAGCTCAAGGATCAACTTCTTTGTCTGGAGACTGAACAGGAATCCATTTTTGGCATGATAGGAAAGGAAATTGATGCAGTTTGTAAAACCTTCTGGAGGGACTCAATGGAGAAAATGAAAGTAATTACCAGTTCTTATTGTGCCTTAGAATTTCAGCTCGTTTCCTAACATATGATTATAATGAGATTTTAATGAATGGCTACATGGTTGTCACATTTTTATTTCAGAAAGTTTCATGAAACAAAATAAAAAGCTTCTTGCATTTCTAGAATGAGGCACTATATCTATTGCACAGTCTTGGTGAGAGAAATTGTACTGTTACTCCACTAAATTGCCAGCGGTTCACTCTGTAAAAGAAAATGTCTTGCGAGAAAGGCAGCAGTTCTGGCTAAGGAAAGCATCCTTGGAGTGAAGAGTCCTGGATTTTGAATTTTTCATTACCACAGATTATTTTTATTGTTTTTATTATATTATTGGCTGACATTTATTGGGTACTAGCTTTATTCCAGATACTTTGATAAGTATTGTGTATGCATCTCTCCCTGAATCCCTAAAACAACCCTATCAGATGCTCTGATTCAATTTATTTTAGAGAAGAGGAAACAAAGGCTTAATGGGATTAAGTTACTCGCTCTAATCATGCTTGTAGTTAAGTGATATCAGGACTTTAATCCTTTAGGGTCTAACTCTGGAACCTAAACAATTACTTTGCTCTCTGCTAGCCTTTTAAAAATAAATTATATTTAATTTAGTTTTTGTATCTTTTAAATTAAATAGTGCTACTTAATGTATAGTTTTAGTGAGATGATAAATAAAAACAGAAGTGATCATGGATGTTTGCATTCCTTGAAGGAAAGTACCACTATCAACTCCAGGTGCTTTGGTATGGTATAACCATAGCACAATGTAGTTCAGTCCTCATTTACCTCTCTGTTTACTTCATTTCATGATATAGCAGCAGTTAAATTGTAGGGTTAGCACATGTATGCATGTATGCTTTACTTTCCAGGTGTTTCTTTTTTAATTTTGTAATTCATTTGTCTTTTTCCTCCTCTGAAATGATTTTCCTATCTCATACTATTAGTTTCCCCTTTTTGCCTTTTTTTTTTCTTTTTTTGCATTCCTCCCCATCTATGTTTGTTTATCTCTTTCTCCAGTGTTTAAAAAGTAGAAAATAAAGCTATAATTCTACTCTTGCAGCTGAAAGTATCTTCGGATATGACTATAATGGAAATATTTCAATGGATAGAATTTGATTGAATTGATGGCATTTCTACAATATGTATTTTTATATGCATTTTTTAAACTTCAGATATCAGCTTGGGAGCCTGTGAGCCTAATCAGAGAAGTAATTGGCTTTAGAGGAAAAGCTAACTCTCTGAAGCTGGTAGAGCCTGTTGTATTGTTGTTGTTCGGTGCCATGGAGTCAGTTCTGACTCATAGGAACTCTGTGTACAACAGAATGAAACACTGTCCCGTGCTGCACCATCCTCACAATCATTGCTATGTTTGAGCCCATTGTTGCAGTCACTGTGTCAGTCCATCTTATTGAGGGTCTTCTCTTTTCTGCTGACCCTCTACTTTACCAAGCATGATGTCCTTCTCCAGGGGCTACTCCCTCCTAATAATATGTCCAAAGTATGTGAGACGAAGGCTCGCCATCCTCACTTCTAAGGAACATTCTGGCTGTACTTCTTCCAAGACAGATTGGTTTTTTCTTCTGACAGTTCCATGGTATATTCCATATTCTTCCCCAACACCATAATTCAAAGGCATCAATCCTTCGGTCTTCCTTATTCATTGTCCAGCTTTTGCATGCCTATGAGGCGACTGAAAATACCATGACTTGGGTCAGGCGCACCATAGTCCTCAAAGTGGTATCTTTGCTTTTTACCACTTTAAAGAGGTCTTTTTGCAGCAGATTTGCCCAACATAAACCATTGTTTGATTTCTTCACCGCTGCTTCTGTGGGCATTGATTGTGGATCCAAATAAAATGAAGTCCTTGACAACTTCAGTATTATCAATGATGTTGCTTATTGGTCCAGTTTTGAGGACTTTTGTTTTCTTTATGTTGAGGTATAATCCATACTGAAGACTGTAGTCTTTTGATCTTCATCAGCATCTTTGATCTTCATCAGTAAGTACTTCAAGTCCTCTTCACTTTTAGCAAGCAACGTTGTGTCATCTGCGTATCGCAGGTTGTTAATGAGTCTTCCTCCAATCCTGATGCTGCATTCTTCTTCATAATCCAGCTTCTTGGATTATGTGCTCGGCATACATATTGAATATGGTGAAAGGATAGAACCCTGACACACACCTTTCCTGATTTTTAACCACGCAGTATCCTCTTGTTCTGTTAGACGACTGCATCTTGGTCTACGTACAATTCCACATGAGCACAGTTAACTGTTCTGGAATTCCCTTTCTTTGCAATGTTCTGCATAATTTGTTGTGACCCACACAGTCTAATGTCCTTGTATAGTCAGTAAAACACAGGTAAACATCTTCCTGGTATTCTCTACTTTCAGCCAAGATTCATCTGACATCAACAATGATATCCCTCATTGCACATCCTCTTGAATCTGGCTTCAGTTTTTGGAAGTTCCCTGTCGATGTACTGCTGCAACTGTTTTTGAATGATCTTCAGCAAAATTTTACTTGCGTGTGATATTAATGATATTGTTTGATAATTTTCGCATTCTATTGGATCACCTTTCTCTGTAATGGGCACAAATGTGGATCTCTTCCAGTCGATTGGCCAGGTAGCTGTCGTCCAAATTTCTTGGCACAGACGAATGAGCACTTCCAACATTGCATCTGTTTGTTGAGACATCTCAATTGGTATTCCACCAATTCCTGAAGCCTTGTTTTTCGCCAGCACTTTCAGAGCAGCTTGGACTTCTTCCTTCAGTACCATCAGTTCTTGATCATATGCTACCTCCTGAAATGGTTGAATGTCGACCAATTCTTTTTGGTGGAGTGACTCTGAGTATTCCTCCCATCTTCTTATTTATTTATTTATTTATTTTATTGTGCTTTAGGTGAAAGTTTACAGCTCAAATTAGTTTCTCATACAAAAATTTATACACACATTATTTTGTGACCCTAGTTGATATCCCTATAATGTGATCGCACATTCCTCCTTTCTACCCTGGATTTCTGGTGTCCATTCAACCAACTCTTCCCCCTTTCTGCCTTTTTGTCTTGCCTCTGGATAGGAGCTGCCCATTTAGTCTTGTGTATCTACTTGAACTAAGAAGCACACTCTTCATGCGTATCATTTTACGTTTTATAGTCCAGTCTATTCTTTGTCAGAAGAGTGGACTTTGGGAATGGTTTTAGTTCTGGGTTAACAGAGAATCCGGGGACCATGTCTTCTGGGATTGCTCCAGTCTCAGTAAGACCATTGAGTCTGGTCTTTTTACTAGAATTTGAGTTCTGCACCCCATTTTCTCCTGCTCCATCAGGGTCTCTCTGTTCTGTTCCCTTTCAGGGCGGTCATTGGTGGTAGCGCCAGACACCATCTAGTTCTTCTGGTCTCAGGCTGATGGAGTCTCTGGTTTATGTGGCCCTTTCTGTCTCTTGGGCTAATACTTTCCTTGTGTCTTTGGTGTTTTTCATTCTCCTTTGCTCCAGGTGGGTTGGGACCAGTTGATGCATCTTAGACTGATGCAGTATGGCCAATACCAGTCCATTTCAGTTCACTGTTGCTTAGAATATCGATCTTCAAGCATTTCATTATAATGCTGTTGTTTTCTTTTTGCTGTATGATGCTGCTTTTTGCATTTAAGATTGCCTTATTTACATATATGTAAATATATTACAAAAAGGGCTCTCCATAATAATGATAGCTAACATTAGTTGAACAACTACTAGGTGCAAGATATTTCACATTATATAATGTACCTTCTATATCTTATTTCACTTTATCTTCATAGTGAACCAACACCATATGTGGTGTTGAAAACTCTAATTTCATCTAAAAGAAGCACATATTGTCTATTATTTAGTCTACGTTTAAGTATTTGTTTCAGGATGGTTTATTTTCAGTGATACATAAACCTTGTCACAGGCAATTCCAGGCTAAAACGTGTGTAGACAGCAGGTTGCTTAAATATTTTATTTCTTTATGAGGTGCAAATTATCATCCCAACGTCTTCCTAAAGAAGCACCCTATTCTTTAATAGGCTCTGAGGAATGGAATGATTTTGGTAATGTGTCTTTACATCTCTTCTTCTAGAGAAAGAGTAATTTTTTTTTTTTTTAAAGCATACAGCTTTTTGTTTTGGATCTCTTTCCATTAGTAACTTCAGATGTTTAGTTCCCATAGCCTTAAAAAAAAGAATACCTCGAAAATATTTACTCTCACCTGAAAAGAATTGCCAGGGAGTTTGTTAACGATGTGATGCTTTGTAGTTCAGAGTACTGTGGGAAAGTGATGGAGGAATCATGTAGTATCGTTTCCAAGAAGGAATAATTCCAAGTGTTTTATGCCATTTGTTGATTTTTTAAATGTTGCTATTGAAATTTTCCACCATTTTATGTAGAGAGTGATTATGCTAGGACTGGATTCGATAAGAGATATGTAACAAATGAACTTGAGAAAAATCCTGGGGAATGTTGATTTTATTTCTAATTATATTTTTCTTTTTCCAGCCATGGTTGTCACTTTTTTCACTTTAGTAAATGCAAGCATTGTTTTTAAACCTCAGTGTGGTTGTCCTAAAATAAACTACTGCCTTTCTAAAACGATTAGGAAAGTGCCTGAATTAAAGATTTATAATTCTCATAGGCTATTCTTTGACAATTCAAAATTTCAACTAAATAGATTAGCTCTGTATGATGTCTTTATTTTTAGTCTCTGTCTTCTCATAGCACTTGGTCTGAATAGTCGTTAACACTCAGTTATAGATGGATTTTGGATTAAGACAGATCTAGGTTTAAACTGCAGATTTCCAAATGGGAAATGGAAGACCTTAGATAAGTTATGTAATCCCTATCCTCTCTAAGAATTTATTTCCCCATTTGTAAGCTGGTTCACTATGAAGATAAAGTGAAATAAGATATAGAAGGTACGCTATATAATGTGAAATATCTTGCACCTAATAGTTGTTCAGTTAATGTTAGCTATCATTATTATGGAGTGCTCTTTTTGTAATATATTTACATATATGTATAGCTTCTTTATCTTCATCTTTTTTATGACAAGTGCCGGAGACAGTCCTCTGGCCATAATAGACCTTGAAACTCATTTACTGATCATGGCATCTTGATATACTGTCAGTGGTAATGATAGTATTGAATGCATTCTGTGTACCAGATACTGTGCTGATACTAATTTCATTTAATCTATATCTTGGCCTTATGAGGTAGTTGTCTCACTTGTAGAAATGTGGCTTATAGAAATTAAGTCACACTACGTGGAAGTGTTCAAGACTGTTCTCTTAAACACCAAACTCTTTATGAATCTGTAAAAAAAATCAGAAAATACTCAACATTATTTTTACCCATTATCTCAAATCATTTTAGACCTCAATCTTAAGGACTATATCTTAGGGTGCTGAAGATTTAATTGAGAGGTATGACATAAGTATATGAAAAATAATAATAAAAGTATATTATGATCAATAATAAATGGATTTTTTACAAACATTTAGCACAGTAGAGAGTCAGAAGAGGAAGAAAACATGGTGAACTAGGGTAGTTAGGGAAAGTTGGGGAAAGTTTCACTGTAAAGCCAGGAAATGAGAGTTGGGTGGAATTTGGATAGAGAGAAAGGTGAATGACACTCTTGTATATGACACCTGGTAGGTACCCAATATTCATTTATTATATGTCTAAATGAAGTACTTAACGATATTCCTGATAGGTGAGTTATGTGTACACACCTTAAGAGGTATGGAAGTATTTGAGAATAAGAGTAGGTATCTTTTCCAAGGGATAGAATATTTTTAAACAGAACATTTCTAGAAAGAGAGCCTGCAAAAATATTATATGTAGCGAAAAAGAGGAAGATCCTCGACGAGCTGGATTGACACATTGGGTGCAACAACAGGCTCAAACTTAGAAACGATTGTGAGGATGGTGCAGGACCGGGCAGTGTTTTGTTCTGCTGTACATAGGGTTGCTATGAGTTGGAACTGACTCGATGGCACCTAACAACAACAACAAGCACAAGGTGTAAAGAAAGAGGGAATTGAGAAAAAAAAGATTGTCGGTGACTTTGTGCTTATAATTATAAAACCATTGATAATCTTTCAGGATAGTACAGTACTTAAGTAATAAGGCAAAATTAAATAAGGCAAGGGTTTTATAAACAGGTTGGTATGAAGGAAATCAGGGAAGCTAGTATAGACAACTTAGTGTCAGATTTTGTTACCATCTGTAAATATAAAGCAAAGCTTCCATGAAATCATGTTTAATTTCTGTAAGTTCTACCCGACCATTGATGAGACAAAATGGCTCTCATAAAACAAAACTGAAGGATATATGAGACAAGAGTGTTCATGTAATCACATCTAACCCACTGTGAAGTACATTATGTGGAACAGACAGAAGAAAAGAAATAAAAATGAAGTAAACATGCTTTAACTGAGTCTGTTTTCCATACAGATCTCGGTGGAACTGGCCTCCAGAGATTGTGGTAATGATAGCACTTGAGAGTTGATTTTTCCATGTCTCTGTACTTGAGCTCTGTTTTTGGTTCTGTTGTACACAAGGTTACAATGAGTCAGAATCGACTCAACGGCACTTAACAACATATTTGAGCTACGTACACACATCCATAGGTACATAAATGGTGGCTTCGAATTGGTTGAGTACTTATTATAAACTTTCTTCTTTTTAAATCTTTAAGTTTAGTAATTAAATTTTTCAATGCTAATGGTAAGAATTTAATTTTTGTAAGTTCATTTTAGAGAAAAATTTATTTCTAATAGACTTTCTTTATCTTTTGGTAGGTTTTTTCATCTGTTCCTGATAGACATTTTGACCCACATCGCTGGTTAGCAGAAAGCAAGGTAAATTCCTTTTTGGATTCTAAAGTTATCATAATATTTATGACCTTCAAGTTATCCTATTTGGTTTAGTTAAATATTTTGTCATGTAACTGAGCATATGAAACTTACAATTTCATTTCAGGAGGTGATATCTTTGCAGTGCATTTAAGAAGCCTCTGTGAGTTTCTTCCTTTTAACATTTATAAATTAATTAAATATATCATGATGTTGCTTATTGGTCCAGTTGGAGGATTTTTGTTTTCTTTATGTTGAGGTGTAATCCATACTGCAGGCTATGGTCTTTGATCTTCATCAGTAAGTGCTTCAAGTCCTCTTCACTTTCAGCAAGCAAGATTGTGTCATCTGCATAATGCAGGTTATTAATAAGTCTCCCTCCACTCCTGATGCCCCATTCTTCTTCATATAGTCCAGCTTCTTGGAGTATTTGCTCAGCATACAGATTGAATAGGTATGGAGAAATGATAAAACCCTGACGCACACTTTTCTTGACTTTAAACCACACAGTATCCCCTTGTTCTGTCCAAACAACTGCCACTTGATCTATGTACAGGTTCCTCATGAGCACAATTAAGTGTTCTGTAATTCCCATTCTTCGCAATGTTATCCATAATTTATTATGATCCACGCAGTTGAATGCCTTTGGCATGGAATTACAGAATAAAGGAAGGTAAAACTATTGGAATAATTACAGCCAGATTGTCAGAGAGACATTCTTCTGTCTTTTACTTGGGATAGGCAACTTCTTTGGAAGTATACAAAGGTCAGGGATGCTGGAACTACCTGAATTATATATATATGCTGTCAGTAGTAATATTATGTATGTTTGTTTCAAATTGATTCCTGAAGGTAAGCTCAAAGCCTGCCAACTCTCTGTGTGGCCCAAACATATCCCTTTACCTCACTGGATGTCTTGTGTAGTCATTTACAAGATGAGAAGAATGAACTTTACATTCAGAAAGTAACTTTCCTGTTTCCTGGTTCTTTACCATTCTGACTTAAATTTAATGGAGGGTAAGTACAAATAAATAAAATTGAATAATTTGCTAGATTTAGCAAAGAGATTGTTCTATACTTTGGTATAATTATCAACTATCAGGTCAACATAGAAATTTACTAATAGAAAAACATGAAAAATTATGACCAGATGTGATATAAACCAGAAAAAACTTGTTAACCTTTGAGTCAATTCTGACTCATAGTGACACTATAGGACAGAGTAGAACTGCCCCATAGAGTTTCCAGGGAGTGGATGGTGGATTCGAACTGCTGACCTTTTGGTTAGCAGCCAAACGCTTGCACCACCAGGACCCCAGATGTGATGTAGATAGCTGTTTATTTAAGCAACATCACTTTTAAAACACTTGCTTTCCATTTTAGCCTAGTTTTTTTACTTCAAGGTGCTAAAATGGAAAATTGTCCATCCCATTTAAATTCCATAGGACAACCACCTGTACTAAAACCTGACCAATTGTAGTCCAATTTAGGATTTTACTGTAAGAAGGACCTTTAAGATTTTGTCAAGTGTCCTAATTTAAAAATATGAGAAAAGTGAGGTTTAAAGAAAGCAAGTGACTTGCCTAGTGCCATATAAAGAGTGAGAAAACAGATTACATGTCACATCTGACTTGCAATAAAAGTTCTTACCATTGTGCATACTGCCATCCAAAGCCTTTGTTCATGTAGCCAAGATTTATTGATTATGTACTTTGTGCCAGACACTGGGGTATAAGGGTTCATGACCCATGGACTTTGCTCTAATATAGTTTAAAGTCTAATAGTGAAAATGGAGGTGTAAGAAGTAAAAATAAATCCCCTAAAGCGTGTTATATTGAAATAAAAAGTATGTAAACATTGTCAAAGGAACACAGAGGAGGGAAGAACTGTCTGTGCTGGGAGGATGGGAGCATGTGATACTGCCAACATATCATCACAGAAGTGACATATTGCTCTTACAAAAAACGTGTCAAAGTTCTTCAGCTGACCAATTGTAGATAGAGCAATGGCAAGAAGATGAGAATATTTGGGTAACCAGAGATAATTCACTGAGATTGATGAGTAAGGTGAGCAATGTACAGCTCTGTATTCGAGAAGCCTCTTAAAACACACACAGATACACACATTGTTTTAATTGTACTTTAAGTGAAAGTTTATAGTTCAAGTCAGTTTCTCATACAAAAATTTATACACACATTGCTATGTGACCCTAGCTGCTTTCCTTATAATGTGACAGCACACTCCTCCTTTCCACCCTGGTTTCCTGTATGCATTCAACCAGCTCCTGCCCCTTTTTGCCTTCTCATATTCCCTCTGGACAGGAGCTTCCCGTTTAGTCTAGTGTATCTACTTGAGCTAAGAAGCACTCTCACGAGTATCATTTCACGTCCCATTGTCCCGTCTAATCTTTGACTGAAGAGTTGGCTTCGGGAATGGTTTCAGTTCTGGGCTAACAGAGTGTCCGGGAGC